CAAGTAATGCAAGATGTCAGTGCATGTCGAGTTCCTCTTCAGAAGATAAAACCAAAGTCATGGTGCTTCCGTCATATTAAGCTTGGACACTGTATGCAGCAATGCCCAACAAGATACACTACATCATTTTTGGAAACTATAGCTGCTCTTGTGTTTGCAAGTGCATCCTTAAAGAACTGAATAAAGGTGCGATTGAAGCGGTGGTGGGGATGGATGGGGAAGAAATGAGGTGCTTCACTGATGCAACAAACGCGGTTTCCACGAACAAGCATAGAGATGATGCAGGAAGTCAGTTGTTTTCCAAAGTGGTAAAGGCTGCCGGTTGTTACAATATGCACATGAATATTATGTCGAAGCATGTGAATGGTATCAGAAAACGGGAATTCTGCCATGTATTCGTCTTTCCACTGGACACACAACAGATCATCATAAGGCTGATGGCCACCAACTTAGTGAGACCGTTGTTGACCGGAGTCGAGGAAGGCTGACGAAAACATTCGGGACCATACAACTCTCTGGTAGAGTATAATACACAAGGGCATGCTAGGTCGTTACCTTTACAACCGCCTCTTCCCTGGCAGCAAGTAACACATCCGCTCATCTTTGGAATATTTGTCCAGCGTTGATCGCACTGCATCCTGGTTGCCGGAAAGTAAGACTATGTAGTCCACACAATTTAGTTAGTTAGTTTTCTTCCAGGAATGACGGTGCTGCCTGCACTCGGAAGTCCACAAGCGAAAATTCATAAGGGGGTCAACAATCAAATGGGAAATAGTGGGGGAAACTAGGAAAAGCCGATGCATGCCACTTGTTGAAAAGAATTCGTACTAACCACGATCAAACATAGCGTACTCTAAGAAGTTGGAGAACAGGTTAGTGCAATGGTTACATAGTTCGTGGGACCCCTTTCCTTGTAAATTGTACCTATATTTTAATAGTGCATGATAAAAGCGATAGCTTTACAAGACCCACAGGGTGAAAGTTGCAAAAGTAAATCGAAATCGAAAGGTTCTGGAGTGCAGTGTGAAATATCAGTAGTCTAGACGCTACACAATATCATACTATTGTGTGGCGTTTGCCACGATAGTCCAATAGTCTTTCGAATGTCACGACAGTTGGTGTATACACCATACCAATGTGTCCCAGAAGCATCCATCAGTGACCTTGCACGGAATATCGCTTCAAATTCCCTTCTGTTTGCTGACGATATCAATATATGGCACCGCAATCAAGCAGATGCCGATCAGAATTTACTTCCGTGTGACCTGGATGGGACACATGGTTGTAGAAAGTAGAAGCCACGATTAAACTTTGCACAATAATCTGCCTCGATGGGGAAACGAACCGCGGACGTACGGATTACTGGTCCGCTGCTCTACCAACTGAACTACCGGAGACTGAGGATCAGGTGCGCAATTTAATACATGACTTCTGCTTGGTTCGCGACGTATTACCAATAAGCTCACAGCATCTGTCCTTTTGTTGCAGATTGGTTCACTCACTCGTCACTTCCCAATGAACCGAAGTATCTGTCCTCCAGACGTTCAAAGAGTGACGGTTAATTTAGATTGTGGTTTTGTGAGTACTGTAATTTTCGTGGAAAGTAGAAGCTACGACTAAACTTTGCGCAGTAATCTGCCTCGACGACATGATTGGTGGCCCCAAAATCTGTTACAGTTCAAGGTGGACAAATGCACCACCACGGCACCAGAGTACCTATTCCTACAAAGTTGGAACTCAACGATTATCCGTCGAGCGCAACCTTGGCGTGCTTGTTCAGGATAACTTGGGTTATTCCAAGCAATCCGCAAAGGCATCGAAAAGTGCTAACCAACACACCGGCTTCCTACGACAGGCGGTGCGACAAATAGGAACCCTCGTTTTCAGACAGATGTTGAATGCGTATGTTCGCTCCCATGTTGCATACGCAAGTCAAGCCTGGCAGCCATGGCTGAAGCAAGACCTTATTGCGCTGAGCCAACCTCAACTTCTGGCTTCTAAGTACGTCACTGGAATGCGCCACCTTCCGTATGAGCAGAGGCTGAAACGTTTGGGAGTATTCAGCGGGCGGCATCGGCGATTACGAGGCGACTTGCTTATGGCATATTGCATTTTGCATATTCGCATCATGTGTACCGCTCTTTACTGCAACTCAGCAGTAACACCAAACGTAGAGGCCACTCCTTGAAATTAGCAGAACAGTACAGCCGTCTGGCGTACCGTATCAATTTTCGTTTCCATTCGTGTGTGTCAACCATGGAACGCTGTCCCCGAATCGGTTGTTTCTACATCCATGCTAGCTATATTTTAAAGTCCATTGGATGACCCACTCTGCCACTTACATTTTGTGGCTTGACGCTACTCTCCATCCTACTCCCGGGAAATACCTTGGAGTTCTCTTTTCGTCTATTGAAATTATGGAAACAATCGGAGTGCTGGGCTACTGCAACACATCCATTCTCTTGACAGTAGAACTACTAACTGCATTTTTTCTTTAACGATTTTCGCTTACCCATCAAACTGTTCAACGGGGCTTGTAAAGGAGTGTTCATGGTCCATAAGAGAGTAAACCTCCTTCTACAATCCAATGGGGATTGTTAACTTACTAGTTGCGGGTCATAACTTCGGTATCTGTTGTTGGAAACTAGGATCAGCAGTGACTTACATGGATGATCGTTTTCTGTTAGTACCCGGACGGGGGATGAATGAGATCTCAAAGAGACCCTCAGTATTCTGAGGAGAAGATACCGAGTAAACGACAGCGCATTTCATAGTTGATCCCGGATAGTCCACGTGTCGCCTTGGTGGCTCATTGTGGGGCTTCTCCAAGAGACGAACGTCTCTTTTTAACCACTGACGCCAGGCATGACCCGCACACACAAGGTGGGGACGAAATATGAATTAATCAGCAGAGGTGTTGGCCCTCGTTCAAAGACACAAAGAGCTCGTCTCAAAAGTTTCAAGTTCAAGCTTGCAACATTTTCTGCCCTGGAACATCGGGAGGAATTGCCCACACTTTTTTGGAGGATACCCAAGTGTTGTTCACTAGTCACGTGTTGGAGAACGTCCTGTCCCGAAAGGTGTGTTGTTGAAGCTGCTGCCCAAAGTCAGCAGGTGCTACTTTGCAAGGTTAGGTGGGAGCCGGCTCATGTCTGCTCACTCTTAATCCGGTCCAGAGAACTATGCACCCCTTCCTCCCAGTTTCCTGGAGTCAATAAACAAGGTGGACGGTGATAGACAGGTAGGGACCTTTTGGAAAAGCTTCTTCGCAGCTAGACTCAGCCAGACAGTCACCACATCCAGGTAGGTACCGTGACAACCTCATGTTGTTTAGGGTGCATTCATAATGTTTCTTTACCGTAGTTGAGCTAAACAAACTGACATTTAAACTAGGTCTTTGGAAGCTGGATAAATTTCATTCCACTTTATCTGCTTTGTTCATTTCTGTTATTCTACTACATCTTCTGCGCCCATTTTGTATGTTTTCTTTCCTTCACATTTCCATGTTGATTATTTGATATCCCCAGTGTGGCTGAGCTTGATGTGTATATAGACGAGGTGCTTACCAGTCTAATACCCTCCACCTCGATTACTGGCTCGAGGAGACTGAATCATCGCTGGGGGGATGGGGTGCATCGTCCTTGTGGCCGTGCTAGGCTTAAAGAGTGGCTCCATCTAGTGTGAAGCGGACTACTATCCAGCCACCGTCGGGTGGACGTATGGTACGCATGATTCACAAGTCGGATAGATAGGAATGCTACCGCTGTGCAAGTTGAAGGAGTGTGGGCTAACTCCGTTGATGAAACGTGGTTCCCATCCACATGCCCCCGGTCTTATTCCTTCGGGTTTACACTGGATATGGGGTGTGTGGACAGAGCGGTGGGTGGTGCAGTGCAAGCCACCTATGATCCCTTTGTAGGCGCAGGCGTCTTGTGGCTGGGGTATGGAAGCCACAGTGACAGGCAAATCCAGAACCGGATGTCATCATATATATATATATATATATATATATATATATATATATATATATATATATATATATATATATATATATATATATATATATATATATATATATATATATATATATATATATATATATATACAAAGTGGCACATGCCAGACAACCCAAGTTCAATATATCGAACAAAATACACACGACTCGTGCTAGAGTTGAGCTTTTCAAACTACTCACTCGCCCCATCCTCGAATACTGCAGCATAATATACGGAAATATGGGAAAGAGTGAAAGAATTGCTGTGGAAAACCTGTAGAGGTCATTTACTAAACATCTGATTGGTAAACACTCTGCTATGGGTTATCGAGAAGGTTGCAATGAACTTCATCTCGAACCACTTTGGATTCGACGACTGAAGCACAACTTGTTGCTGTTTTTCAACATGTTACACAAGAAGACCTATTCCAACGTGCCTACACTCAATTTACAACTTTGTTCAACTCGAGCGCTTTGCAACAAAGATTGTAAATTGAATATACCGAAGGCTAGAACGAACATCCGCTCTAATTTCTTCCTGGTCACATACAGCTATCTGTGGAGTTAACTAGCAATAACACTGAGGTCATGTGACAATGTGATAACATTTAGTAGCAGATTCGCCAATTACCTTGATCTAACTACCCTAAGCTCTATATTCACATGGGAAAAATCCCTAGATGAGCTATTCCAAGAGGGGCTCAAAAGCATATAAACACCAGTGTTTTAATAACTAAGCTTTGGCCTCAACTATCCACCAGAATCTTAACACATGAAACGCATATCCCAATACTCCAGCTATGCATGTCACCCATGCAAGAGTATGGATGCTTCTGTGCAAATTGATCTGTGCCGCTAATGACACAGTCTCTCTCAAAAGTGAAATATACTTATCAGTATTATTACTATTATTATTTATTATTATTATATATGCTAAGTCTGTTGTGCTTGATGATAAGTTGCAAAGGTGCGAAACACCTTTCCCAGCGTAAAAGATTAAACATACCATCCGTTCTTCCATTGAAGGTGTAGCAAGCACCGGTTGGCAAGATACTGCGGGTAAAATTTAGCGCGGAACACCAACGGTGATTGACAACACATCTGATAGGGTAAACAAATTAGAATACGCGTGAAAGAGAACTGGAATGCAGTAGGTGAGGAAGGGAGATTCGTCAAACTATCTATCCATAGAAGGGTAGAAAAGAGTTGAAATATAAAATGAACACTAGTAGTTAAATGAATTAAGATAAGTAGAGAGCAGCAGGACAGTAAAGAGGCAGATATGATGTAGTTCAGACGAATGGGCGTGGGCGGGCCCGAGCTTTTCACATCAAAATGAAAGTACACACTGATTTTACGTCGAAGTAACCGAATTTCAGCATGTCAGCACCACAACTCTCAGTCTCAATTAGTATGCACATACGAGTTAAGTCCTCGCAGATGGAAGGTAATTTCCAGTTCGGTAACGCCAGTCGATCGATAGCGGTGAAGGACCTAACTGGTTGCTAGTCATAAACTCGAAGAAGAAGCTCTGGTTCGAGCGCGGCAGAACACACATCCCGGACATAGCTGGTAAGGTTACGCGAGTGAATTGGATAACAAAGATTTTCAATGGACATGATAAGGCTTACAATGTGGCTTTAATATCCACCGTGTGAGCGGATATTATCAACAGACCGAAACGGAGTGACAAGTGCAGACCTGAAAGCCAGAGACGTAGGATGATTGTACCAAGTTAGGATGCGCTCAACCACTTTTCAAGGATACCAAGAGCTACGGAACTGGAGCCTTCTCTAGTTACATGCGAACTTAAGAGCTGGGCGTGATAGTGGAACATCTGATGAAATACGAATTGGTTTGACGGAGAAAACTGCCAAGCTGCAATAGTTAGACGCTAACTGATGTGCACCGCAGTGGATTGTTTAAACAGCAGGTATGGTAATTCCATAAATTGCCACTTGTTACCTGACCTCGAGTGAGTTCTTTTAAAGAGAAAGTAAGGCTTCGGAACATGTGCAGTAGCGGTAGAGCAAACAGAAGACCCGAAGAGACAGTAGGGGCTGCCGGATGGACACTTTATGATGCGAACAACCTAGCCAGAATGATCATACGGATGCCAGAAAACTTGAATAAATATTCATACGCAACAAGCATGTTACGATTTGCAGACGGTTAACATACCTATAATACAGCTTTAGCAGTCCGCAGGCGGTGCTGTCTGTTATAAATTCTTATCTCGTACTCGATTAGTGCTGGCTGATACCATCGTTTACGAACGGCGTCAGCCGTGGTTTATCGCTTCTGAACAGTTGAAGCCTTCAGTGAGTGCCCCACTGTTCACTGACATGTGTTTGCGCTAGCTGCCAGCTATGGCAGCGGACCGTCGGCAGATCTTTTTGTGGATCCGCGTTGGTTTCTCTCAAATAGATTCTGCTTTGATATCACATGGACTGCAAAGTTTTGTTAAATGTAGGGTACACTCATGAGCCCTCCCAATAGATTCATCGTGTTCGCTTTGTTGATACGAACTGTGCATGCTTGTGAACGCTGTGGGGAGTACACTTGAAGTGGCACAGCCTAGTTCCTCCACACAAATACCAGTTCATATGACATGAGGCAAACTGAGGAGTTACAGTTTGTTAGACACCCAGCATTCAGCCACTTTACCTAATCGCCTTTTGGATTTATCAGGTTGGCTTTGTATGATAAGAGTAAACCAAGGTTATGGGTGGATTTTTTTAGTGTTGCAGACTAGAATGTTTGAGGCAACTCCTTCTAGTCTAGCAATGGAAACATTGTAACTTAGTTTTCATCATTAATCAACCGACAGCATTGACTCGAACTAGTTCTGCCTTCAACTGTCACTGATTGAAATCAAGAGCAGACCAATGGTTCAGTCAGTTGTCCAACTCTGTTGGCTAACATCCGCTTATCCAACTGAAGAGATGGAGGGCCAATTGAGGCAATGATGGTAGTTAATCGAGGCGGAATTATGGCCAGTGTTTTGTGAACATTATCGACCAACTTTTTAACCTCCATTTATGAGAAGTTGCTCGCGAAGATCGTGAATTAGGGTATGCGGCATCTGATGAAATCCAAAAGCCTCCTGACGCCGAAACAGCAAGGTTTCATGAAAAGTCGCTCATGCATCACTAACTTGCTGGTCACACGGCATGAATGTTTGCCCACGCTACACCGGGGGAAGTCAGTCGATGTGCTCTAAATTGATTTCAGTAAAGCGTTCGATAAAGTGAACCATGAGGTTCGCCTCAACAAGTTGAGGATGTGCGGCGTTGGTGGCTTAATGCATCCGTGGGTCAGCAACTTCTTTATTGGACGGTAGTGGAGGGTACATGTAAATGTTGACTACTATCGCTCTACAAGTCGGGTACCCCAAGGCACGGTATTGGGGCTCATTTTGTTCCTGATCTACATTAACAAACACGTCTGCTTCTCCGGACACTATGTGTCCTGTTTGCAGACGACCTTAAGATGTGGAGAGTGATTTGCACCGCCGACGACTGCGGCCTACTTCAGCATGACGCCAATCGTCTCTCCAGGTGGTCTGTATATGTCGATCTACAGATCAACCCAGTCAAGTGGGTATTCATGAGCTTTGCGACGGATGGTGACGACCGAACCTACACACTTGACAGCCAACCGCTACATACAACAGCTTCCGTGAAAAACCTAGGTGTACTTTCATGTTGCGACTTCAAAGTAGACAACACGAAAAAGCTGTCTGGAAACGGACCAAACATGCTTTGGACGCTCAAATGCAGCTGCTGCACTCGGTTTGAAGAGATTACCACTCTCCTCTTCCCTATCATCCTAAGACCAGTGCTCGAGTACGGCTCACCTGCCAATTGTGCGGTCATCTTATTTGAGGTGCAAAACTGGAACCTGTTCAGCATGTGGCTCATCCTCAGTTTACGGGGTATCTCGTACGAAGAACAGCGCAGGAGACTGGCGCTGTACACTCTATGGTATTTTCGGTTTCGAGCGAAGATCTTAATGACACACCGGATAATGGCGCATCTGAGTAACTTTCCAATACTGAGCCAGCTTCTACACCTGGGCACACCAAGCAGCACTCGCGGGCATCGGTACAAACTTGTGGCACCGAATCTGAAACGGATAGCTCATGCGCTATGCTTCAAGCATCGTGGTGTGAAATATTGGAACAGTTTACCCGACACCGTAGTCGAGGCGAAATCGGTGTCAGATTTCAGTAAATTCCTGGACGCCCACTTTGCGGACCACAGATTTCGAAAGCGCATGACACCTGAGTAGGACGTCGTATAGCCGAAGTGCGTTGACCTACGCAGTAATAAATGACGTTATTCTGTGTGAATGCTCGATAGTATGTCGATGCAGAAACACAGATATGTATCTTCTAGATCTCTACTTTTAGCATTGAGTATCTTTATTTCGGCCTCTAAGGGCTCTGACAAAATGACATTGAACCTTCGGAAGTGTAGCGGCTTCCTGATCCGTTTGACTTGATCGATAGTGCACACCACCAGCGGATAACGGGTTATGTTGACGTTGGTTAACCCGATTTCGCGGCAGTCTAAGATTGGGGGTGAACAAAAAGACAGAACTACAGGGGGTGCAAAAAAAAACAGACCATTCTAAAGACGGGAAAGCGTTTCCGGTGAGTTGGAGTAAGATCGCTACCGAGCGGGACACAAAGCTTTATCCAAAAAGGCGTTACCTATTCTGCAGAAAGGACAGGGAGGGGGTCGGCCGCTGGGACATAATAGCCTGTGCTCGCCTTACAAAGGTTTTAGGAGACACAAATCAAGAATGAAACACGATCAATTTTAAACATTTCAGTTATAGCTTACTGCCGGTTGCACTGAGAATACCGTAAGGACATTTGCTTTCCTCTAACTGGTTTGGTATCCATGGTAATGCCGGAAGTGAGCACTCCAAAGATTTCTTTCCAGATTATGTGAGCTTTGTGTCAGACTTGGCGCAGCATGAAAGGACCTACATGACTTGTTCTCGTTGTTTTCAAGTTAAGCATGACAGTTCCACCATTTTAGCGGCAGGAACCGGACATGCCTGACGTGCCGTTAAGACTCATATTTTCGATCACAAGATGAACGTAATTGAAGAAAAATTAGCATCGCAATGCACAAGATCCAAAAACCACTTTTATCCGAAAAGTTGTCCCTTGAAACTGTTTGGTTGATAAGAGACTTTCTGGCCTAAAGTTTAACTTATCCAAGAGGATGTCATCATTCAGGTGGACCGCAACCCACTTTCTAACGTCTGGGTTTGACTTGCGTCTGCGTTAGTGTAGGGTTTGCTGTATCGCCGCCAACTGTTTGAACCCAACGACGGTAATGAGAAAACGGAAGCCAAACCGGTACAGAATTGTATGCATAGGAAATCAGCTTCACTTAAATAGGACACAGTAGCAATTGAAGCAAACTAATAAAACACGTTGGAGCCAACTAAAACATAGGAGACACTTAATAACACAGATGAATGAGAAGTGGTAAACGTAAGAATTACTCACGTGTGTCCGAGGAAAGGGTCTTAGCGGAAATGGGACCCTAACATCCATCACGAAGGACGGATGCCGGTCAGACAAAGTAAAAAATGATGCGTTTAAACAACTGTCAAAAAACTAACGGTAACGAAACGAAGCCCCTCTTCATCACAGTGGTGTGCTTCACTGATCGTGAGATGCATGGCAGTAGAGGACTGGAATATATGTCGTAAGGTGAATAATCGTAACTCGATTGACCTTCAACTTCGTAGGACAGAGAGCCAACGCGGTTATCCATTAGCCTCGTAACGGACGCCGCAAACGACAAACCCCAATCACCTGATGCGTTTACTGCAGATCCACCATGATAGCCCCGGGCAGCATTCATAATGTCTTTAGGCTTTTGAACAACCGGACCAATTGCATTGTTTCATCTGTCATCTGAATCCCTAAGTGGGGTTCTAAAAGGTAAGTATGCGTTTTCGAGGTTCCGGCAATACCAAAATTATGGAACAACTAAAATCCGTAAAACACTGGGAGAAAACACAATGAACCACAAGACTTTCCGTAGAAAATTTTGAAGGTGGAAAGTTATCCC